CCCCCCCCCTCCCCCCCACACACACACACACAAAAAAACAAATTTTTTGAATGTTGTGAACCCACATATGTTGGGTTAAAAGGAAAGAAATTATTCGCATTTTCAAACATGGATGTCCACTAAAAATTGAAAATGACCCAACAACTTCCTCGTCCCTTTCAGTATTTTTCTCTAACAAGAACTCCATTTGGAATGTTGACTTGAATTGACTTGATATTTTATTGTCAAGATAAAAATGAAACAAACTTGAAATTACTCAGCTTGGCAGTGATTAATTAAATTTTTATTTATTTATTTTTAAAATGAATATACAAATATATCACTCAACATATTTGTCGGGGAATATTTTTCATTAGTATCACGTAACTATCTACAAGGGACTTCACCTATGTCAAAGTTGAAATCAAAATCTTGTCGCGTGCTTTGAGCATTGAAGGGTAGATTTAGATCCACTAAATTATCGTAATTATGAGGACTCGAATTCAAAAATTGAACAAAAAAATTTGATTTGTTACCCAATAAACAAACCGCTCAATAATAAATTCCATTTATTAGAACTACCAGGATACAAAGTTGAGCTGTCGGTGCAACCCAAAGCCTTGTGCGTATGCCACCTTTGGCACTTTGCAAGTTCCGGGGTGATGGTAGGCCCCACAATTAGCCCAACAATTTCATATTTGTATTAATCAAATCAATAAAGAGTTAGTGCGAAATGAATTTGGTCTTCTGAATATTAACAAGATCTATTTTTTTTAATCTATTAAATAACAAATATTTTAAACAAGATAGAACCTACGTAAGAACGAGTTTTATATGGTATGAACTTATAAGAATGAATTTTTACTCCCTCCGTTCTTAAATATCTGTCATTTAAAGTTTTTGTACAAAAATTAATAAATAATTAAATAAGATTAAAATACTCTTATTCAATACGTATTGAAAGGAAATGAATATGAAAAACACTTAGCCTCCGCCTAATCTAATGCATTGAAAAGTTAAGAATAAATTTTAAAAAAAATATATTAATTATGCTTTAGTTTCATTAAACGAAATATATTATGAAACAATAAAAATTGTGTAAAACGATAGATATTTAGGAACGGGGGGAATATATGATATGAACCTAATACATGTATATNATTTTATTGTCAAGATAAAAATGAAACAAACTTGAAATTACTCAGCTTGGCAGTGATTAATTAAATTTTTATTTATTTATTTTTAAAATGAATATACAAATATATCACTCAACATATTTGTCGGGGAATATTTTTCATTAGTATCACGTAACTATCTACAAGGGACTTCACCTATGTCAAAGTTGAAATCAAAATCTTGTCGCGTGCTTTGAGCATTGAAGGGTAGATTTAGATCCACTAAATTATCGTAATTATGAGGACTCGAATTCAAAAATTGAACAAAAAAATTTGATTTGTTACCCAATAAACAAACCGCTCAATAATAAATTCCATTTATTAGAACTACCAGGATACAAAGTTGAGCTGTCGGTGCAACCCAAAGCCTTGTGCGTATGCCACCTTTGGCACTTTGCAAGTTCCGGGGTGATGGTAGGCCCCACAATTAGCCCAACAATTTCATATTTGTATTAATCAAATCAATAAAGAGTTAGTGCGAAATGAATTTGGTCTTCTGAATATTAACAAGATCTATTTTTTTTAATCTATTAAATAACAAATATTTTAAACAAGATAGAACCTACGTAAGAACGAGTTTTATAAGGTATGAACTTATAAGAATGAGTTTTTACTCCTTCCGTTCCTAAATATCTGTCGTTTAAAGTTTTTGTACAAAGATTAATAAATAATTAAATAAAATTAAAACATTCTTATTCAATACGTATTGAAAGGAAATGAATATGAAAAATACTTAACCTCCACCTAATCTAATGCATTGAAAAGTTAAGAATAAATTTTAAAAAAATAATATTAATTATGCTTTAGTTTCATTAAACGAAAGATATTATGGAACAATAAAAATTGTGTAAAACGATAGATATTTAGGAACGGGGGGAATATATGATATGAACCTAATACATGTATATATAATTATAAATAAATTAAAGGTAATTCGTACTTAAAAGTATAGTGTAATATGAATAATTTTAAAATGAATGTTAGTTGTCATTTGATAAGTTTATTTAAGATCGTTAGATGAATTTATTGAAATCTGTTCTATTTTATATTATAAATTATAATATATATTAAATAACATAAAAAATAAATTTTAACCCGGCAAGTTGAGACCCATAAATAGTCCTATCCACAGTTATACCCGACAAATCCGCCAAGTGGATGTCACGGGACACCAACTTTCTTCATTTTGCCCGAACAGCTACAACAACTAATCATCTTCAAAATCAAAATTGTCCCACTAAATCAATTTATCCAATGGAGTAGTTAATTGAGGTTAATGGTTGATTTAATAACTCTTATCTCGCTGTTGGATTTTAAGATCACGGGTTTAAATCTTATTATTTTCATTCCTATAATAATCCTTGACTAGAAAAAAAAAACTAACTGATTAATTATAATTTTAGGTAAAAAAACAGCTGAATAGATTAATTTTTTTATCCACTAATGAGTCATGTACACATGTACCTGTATGTATACGGATGGCAGTGGACTACTAGGGGTGGAGGGGGGAGAGTACTCTCTATTTTCATATCCGCTTCAAAAATATTTGTTTACCTCAATTAGCAGAAAAAATTTTAATCTCCATCTTCATCCCGCATATAAATTTTGATCCGTTTTCATCTCTACCACCGTTTTCATCTGTAACAATTAATTTATATTATTTAAAAAAAAATTGAAAAAAAATTATAAAACCTCAGAAATGGTTTTGTAGGAAGGATGAAGTGTTTTAAATATGTCATATATATTATTGGTTTAGTGGGATGAGATGAGAATGAGTTTTAAACCATTCTTGCACTGATTTATACGAGTATTTTTATATACATCCGTTATCCAATATATATGATTCATTCCTAGTGCAAACGGGATAGATTTAGACGAATATTTCATNATCGTAATTATGAGGACTCGAATTCAAAAATTGAACAAAAAAATTTGATTTGTTACCCAATAAACAAACCGCTCAATAATAAATTCCATTTATTAGAACTACCAGGATACAAAGTTGAGCTGTCGGTGCAACCCAAAGCCTTGTGCGTATGCCACCTTTGGCACTTTGCAAGTTCCGGGGTGATGGTAGGCCCCACAATTAGCCCAACAATTTCATATTTGTATTAATCAAATCAATAAAGAGTTAGTGCGAAATGAATTTGGTCTTCTGAATATTAACAAGATCTATTTTTTTTAATCTATTAAATAACAAATATTTTAAACAAGATAGAACCTACGTAAGAACGAGTTTTATAAGGTATGAACTTATAAGAATGAGTTTTTACTCCTTCCGTTCCTAAATATCTGTCGTTTAAAGTTTTTGTACAAAGATTAATAAATAATTAAATAAAATTAAAACATTCTTATTCAATACGTATTGAAAGGAAATGAATATGAAAAATACTTAACCTCCACCTAATCTAATGCATTGAAAAGTTAAGAATAAATTTTAAAAAAATAATATTAATTATGCTTTAGTTTCATTAAACGAAAGATATTATGGAACAATAAAAATTGTGTAAAACGATAGATATTTAGGAACGGGGGGAATATATGATATGAACCTAATACATGTATATATAATTATAAATAAATTAAAGGTAATTCGTACTTAAAAGTATAGTGTAATATGAATAATTTTAAAATGAATGTTAGTTGTCATTTGATAAGTTTATTTAAGATCGTTAGATGAATTTATTGAAATCTGTTCTATTTTATATTATAAATTATAATATATATTAAATAACATAAAAAATAAATTTTAACCCGGCAAGTTGAGACCCATAAATAGTCCTATCCACAGTTATACCCGACAAATCCGCCAAGTGGATGTCACGGGACACCAACTTTCTTCATTTTGCCCGAACAGCTACAACAACTAATCATCTTCAAAATCAAAATTGTCCCACTAAATCAATTTATCCAATGGAGTAGTTAATTGAGGTTAATGGTTGATTTAATAACTCTTATCTCGCTGTTGGATTTTAAGATCACGGGTTTAAATCTTATTATTTTCATTCCTATAATAATCCTTGACTAGAAAAAAAAAACTAACTGATTAATTATAATTTTAGGTAAAAAAACAGCTAAATAGATTAATTTTTTTATCCACTAATGAGTCATGTACACATGTACCTGTATGTATACGGATGGCAGTGGACTACTAGGGGTGGAGGGGGGAGAGTACTCTCTATTTTCATATCCGCTTCAAAAATATTTGTTTACCTCAATTAGCAGAAAAAATTTTAATCNAACGGAAAAAATTTTAATCTCCATCTTCGTCCCGCAGATAAATTTTGATCCGTTTTCATCTCTACCACCGTTTTCATCTGTAACAATTAATTTATATTATTTAAAAAAAACGTTGAAAAAAAATTATAAAACCTCAGAAATGGTTTTGTAGGAAGGATGAAGTGTTTTNTATAATATGAATAATTTTGAAATGAATGTTAGTTGTCATTGAATAAGTTTATTTAAGATCGTCAGATGAATTTATTAAAATCTGTTTTATTTTATATTATAAATTATAATATATATTAAATAACATAAAAAATAAATTTTAACCCGACAAGTTGAGACCCATAAATAGTCCTATCCACAGTTATACCCGACAAATCCGCCAAGTGGATGTCACGGGACACCAACTTTCTTCATTTTGCCCGAACCGCTACAACAACTAATCATCTTCAAAATCAAAATTGTCCCACTAAATCAATTTATCCAATGGAGTAGTTAATTGAGGTTAATGGTTGATTTAATAACTCTTATCTCGCTGTTGGATTTTAAGATCACGGGTTTAAATCTTATTATTTTCATTCCTATAATAATCCTTGACTAGAAAAAAAAAACTAACTGATTAATTATAATTTTAGGTAAAAAAACAGCTGAATAGATTAATTTTTTTATCCACTAATGAGTCATGTACACATGTACCTGTATGTATACGGATGGCAGTGGACTACTAGGGGTGGAGGGGGGAGAGTACTCTCTATTTTCATATCCGCTTCAAAAATATTTGTTTACCTCAATTAGCAGAAAAAATTTTAATCTCCATCTTCATCCCGCATATAAATTTTGATCCGTTTTCATCTCTACCACCGTTTTCATCTGTAACAATTAATTTATATTATTTAAAAAAAAATTGAAAAAAAATTATAAAACCTCAGAAATGGTTTTGTAGGAAGGATGAAGTGTTTTAAATATGTCATATATATTATTGGTTTAGTGGGATGAGATGAGAATGAGTTTTAAACCATTCTTGCACTGATTTATACGAGTATTTTTATATACATCCGTTATCCAATATATATGATTCATTCCTAGTGCAAACGGGATAGATTTAGACGAATATTTCATTTTTCTCTAGTCCACTGCCATCTTTATGTATGTATCTATAAGTGAGAAAAAAAACGAGATAAAAGAAAATTGAAAGAGATATGTGTGGAAAAAGACCAAAAAAGTTAAATTGTATAGACAGTTGGGTGTAATTGATAAGAAATTATGAGTAATTAAGGTGAAAAAAATACAAACATAGATATGTTTTACACAAAAAACACTTAATCTCATTCTCTCTCTCTCTCTAGCAATAGAATAATAGTATTAAATAAAAAAAAACAAAGATACATATATATGTTATCAACACCAAACGACGCCGTTGATAGGAGGTTGAAAAATTCTTGCAACTTAATTCTACTGTAATTAATAAAACATAAATTAATTAACAAAAAAGTACAAGTCAAAATAAAAAATAATAAATTACAGAAGGTTTTAAACTTGCGTTTAGAGTGAAACTTCGGTCTCCAGGTAGGGGAGAGGGGGAGGAGAGAGAGAGAGAGAGAGAGAGAGAGAGTTGTTCAACACGGAAAACCAGTTGTTTGTTTAGGTTGATAAATCCTGTGGATCCATACCCGGTCGGCATTGTTCTTCATCGTTCTTGAAATTGGGTTAAGCCAAACTAGTCACAGTCCGAAGATCTTCTTCTTGAGTCGAAACCGTCCGTTTCATTCTCAGTTCCCATGATCTGTTTCAAAAGTTGCCCATCGAAGAACTCGCTAAGAACTTCTCGATTCTGTAAGTATGTACTCTATTGATGTTTCAATCACTCGGTTTTTGAATTTTTCTAAATTTTCTGCAGTTGTTGATGAGTATTTGGCCAAAAGCATACAATAGTTATGAGATCTGTAATATGGATTGTTTTCATATTCTATTTCTTGTATATGATATGATCTTTGACTGTTACAAGTTTGGGTCTAAACATTTGAAAGATTCAATGTTGCTGTGTAAAATTACTACAATAAAAATTCAAGATGAGATGGGAAAGTAAATGACCATTACAGGTAATATTAGTTTAAAAACGTTGTTCGTTAATATTATCTTACTCTTATTTGAGAAGTAGTGGATGTTAAACGAGCTTGTGTCTCAGTGGGGGGGGGGGGGGNGGGGGGGGGGGGGGGGGGGGGGGGGGGGGGGGGGGGGGGGGGGGGGGGGGGGGGGGGGGGGGGGGGGGGGGGGGGGGGGGGGGGGGGGGGGGGGGGGGGGGGGGGGGGGGGGGGGGGGGGGGGGGGGGGGGGGGGGGGGGGGGGGGGGGGGGGGGGGGGGGGGGGGGGGGGGGGGGGGGGGGGGGGGGGGGGGGGGGGGGGGGGGGGGGGGGGGGGGGGGGGGGGGGGGGGGGGGGGGGGGGGGGGGGGGGGGGGGGGGGGGGGGGGGGGGGGGGGGGGGGGGGGGGGGGGGGGGGGGGGGGGGGGGGGGGGGGGGGGGGGGGGGGGGGGGGGGGGGGGGGGGGGGGGGGGGGGGGGGGGGGGGGGGGGGGGGGGGGGGGGGGGGGGGGGGGGGGGGGGGGGGGGGGGGGGGGGGGGGGGGGGGGGGGGGGGGGGGGGGGGGGGGGGGGGGGGGGGGGGGGGGGGGGGGGGGGGGGGGGGGGGGGTTTGGGGGGTATGAAAAAAACCAAAAAAACTTTTGTTGAGGTATATTTGTTTGGTGGATGATGATGAGATCAACAGAGATTGTAGCTGTTATGTGAAGTTTGATATGAGGGCTAAAACTCTGACTTATTTTAGCACTTGGCTTGAATGAGTTTGGGATTAGTAATAGCTTTTAGGGCAAAGGATACCCATTTGGGTAATATAAGCAAATTTCATGCTTGTTCATGTAATCTTTTATGATTGAAGCAAAATTCACCACAAGACAAGAAGGGATGCAATCCAAGTACACACAACGTATATATGGATCAAAACAATGAAAATGTCTGTCTATACAATGCTTTTAGCAATCTTCTAGAGAATCTGGTTATACTGATTACTGACAACTTTGGAAATATATAAAAATATGCGAGGAGAAAAATGTATGTTTTTGCTTGATCAACAGCAACTCCTCCTTGAATGATCATCCCAGACACATCACTCAACCCTTTCGTTCTTTTAACCATGTAAGAGACTCCAAAATTAACGTTGGCATCAATAAAACCTCAAAAATGAAAGAAAAGAGCAAGGCCACATGTCGTGAATCACCTTATAGTGGAACAACAAATAGGTAATTGTCTTTTTGGCTCTTGTGCACATTCAAGACTGCACACAATTAGGGAAACTCCTGTCCCTCTGTGGATTATCAGCTGTCAAGAATTTCACAAGGGAAGTATCCATGACAAAAAGGCCTGTTAACTTATTTCTCTTACTGAGGAAAAAAGCACCACCACCTCCTCAACATAATGTAGCATGAATTTACTACAAAGTTCTTCCATTTTCAAGTTCAAGAAACAGGTGAAAGTGCATTAAATCCGACGAGAAGATGTCATTTGCACTCGTGGCAATAGAGCTTGAAAAATTAGCAAGCTTTGGAGAGGACATAGGGACGCTAGCTGAGGAAATGATCGGGCTGACCTGGACTAACCATCAATGAACACCTGGCAGAGATGCCTTGCTCTTCAGCTTCTCCAACAGTACAAGAGAAAGTGTGTTCCTCAAAAGGAGTTATTTGAGAAAGCTAATATCCTCAAGCTACCCATGAAAGAGATAGACTCGGAGTACCAAGGTTAAAAGGAGAGAACAACCAACTTGGGTTGCAGGGAAGAACCTAAGGGAGCCGGGAGCCACGGAGAGCTCGGTAGTAAGTGAAGGCAAACGACTTTAAGATTATGCAATGTGGATAGCTTGACTCATCATATAGCCAAAATATGAGACAGGCTCATGGGGTGCATAGTGTGAATCACAATCACGTTTTTTTTCACCAGCACACTGCTGGGAAGTGTGCTCAACTCAGCCCAATGAGAGTACAGTTCAAAACTTCAAAACAATGAGAATACAGTGAACACTTTTCATCCCATTATTCTACGTCAGCGCGATCAACGTGGAAGGATAAGCTTGACTTAGCCAATCTTTCCTCTATCACTAGATCACATGAAATTCTCATTTTGCACCCAATCTTTCTTTCTTCACTTATCTCTAGCATTAATTGACTTGTGACTATCTATTTCCTATGGACTCATAATTCCTTAGTCTCATTCACCAATAGGAAGCAGGGTAAATTACTATAACTATTGTACAATTTGCTGATATGGTAGTTTTGAAACTGTTACAAATACTAGAATAGTGTGGTATTTATATCAGGAGAGTGCTGCAGATAAATTTCAGGGACTCCCAGCGTCCCGTTTTGTTGTGTAGCAAGAAATTTTCAGATGCAACTAATTTCTGTTGAGTTGTCCATATGACAAAAGAGTTTGAAAGGATTGTTTGATGCAAGTAGTCTTTTGGTGTTTTTGATATTACTACTCCATGAAATGTTCATTATGATGACCTGGAAATGGGATATGAATGGTGCTGTAGTCCTAAATAGTTGAAACATATATGAGTAGGATTTTTTGTTTTTTTGAATGTCAGAAATATATAAACATACAATAAAAGTTGTAGGTAGATTTCTTTGAAATTGGAATAGGAGCACACAATTCCTTTATTCAATTCCCAAAATTGGAAGTTTCCACAGATATTTAGATGCTTCTATATGCTTTTTGAGCCATGGTACTGTTACCACAATGTTGCTGGCAAATATAACTAGTCCTTATCCTTTCAGGACAGATATGCTTTCCGGACCTAGAGCTAGAAATGCCTTATTTTGTTTCATTCCCGTTCTTTATTTCCTTCTTATCTAATCCAAAGGAGACTTCTCATATCTATCTAGAACTCAAATAAATATGCTTGGATTGCCATTTGTTGACTTGCTCATAATCACGTCTTGTTAATCTGTCTCCAGTTGTTTCATATATGTAGCTAACTAGCTCCCATCATGTGGTTGTTGCAGGGTTTATTAGTTACTTCACTACTGCTAGTTTTGTGCACTAATGCATTAGAAAACTGGATAATCTGTCTGTTGTGTGAGCTCAACAGGACTATAAAAAGAGTGGATCTAAATATCTGGATATATTTTTAGGCATCAAGAAGACGCTTGAGGATGGAATCTAACTTTGCACACCAATTGTAAATTCCTGGAAATAATATGGTGTTTAGAAGAATTGCAGAATTTATTTCTGCTGCAACAGGTCGTTTGTCAGCCCCAAAGTCTTCCGCTGTTCCTTATACATCATCTGGACTGTCACCTCTGGCGGGTTCAGTTCAGGGTTCTGGTTTTGCAAGCTCTGGGCAGAAGAATAATTTGAGACACTTCTCATCCCTTCAAGATTTCTCTTCATACCGCCAACCTGATCCAGAAGAAGGCGATCTTAACTCTGGAATAGAGAGGATATTAGCCCTCCCAAAAAAGCCTCATTTGTTAGCTAGAGAAAATGGTGGGTCAAGTTTTTCCAAGGAGAAGGCATTACCAGCAATCTCTTTTGTGCGAAAGAGATGGGTGCGAGTGATCATGTTTCTCTTATGCCTACTGTTGTTTGCTTTCTTCATCTATATGTTACAGTTTCTCTATTCTAATTTGTCGCAAGGAACATCCAAGTTCTATGTTGTACTCGATAGTGGTAGTACTGGAACCCGGGTTTATGTATATCAAGCATTTCTTAATCACAAGAACGATGGTAGTCTCCCTTTTTTGTTGAGATCACAACCAGAAGGATTTCAGAGAAAACCGGGTCCACAGAGTGGACGTGCGTACAACCGCATGGAGACTGAGCCTGGTTTTGACAAATTAGTGCATAATTTATCTGGCTTGCGGGGTGCAATAAAACCACTTCTTCGATGGGCAGAGAAGCAAATTCCCAAACATGCATATAAATCTACTTACCTCTTCCTTTATGCTACAGCTGGTGTTCGCAGGCTGCCTAGTTCAGACTCAGAATGGATTCTTAACAATGCTTGGTCCATTCTAAAAACTTCACCTTTTCAGTGCCAGAGAGAGTGGGTTAAGATTATTAGTGGTGTGGACGAAGCATATTTTGGATGGATAGCTTTAAATTATCACAAGGGTGTTCTGGGGGTTGCACCCAAAAAAGAAACATTTGGTGCGCTTGACTTGGGTGGCTCTTCATTGCAGGTTACTTTTGAGAGCAAGGACCATGTCCATAATGAAACTACCTTAAAGCTGAGCATTGGTCCTGTTAACCACCGTCTCAGTGCCTACTCTATGTCGGGCTATGGCCTGAATGATGCTTTTGACAAGTCTGTGGTTCATCTTCTCAAAAAACTACCTCAAGTTACAACTGCAGATCTAGTGAATGGAAACATTGAAATTAAGCACCCTTGCTTGCACTCTGGCTACAAAGCAGAATACATCTGTTCTCAGTGTGCTTCTGTCAATCAAGAAGGTGGGAGTCCGATTGGCGGAAAAAATTTGGGTAGAGGAGGAAAACCTGGAATTCCCCTTCAACTTATTGGTGCTCCAAAGTGGGACGAATGCAGTGCACTTGCAAAAGTGGCTGTCAACTTGTCTGAATGGTCAAATCTAAGGCCAGTAATTGACTGTGAACTGCAACCTTGTGCTCTTCCAGCTAATCTGCCTCGTCCTTATGGTCAGTTCTATGCGATGTCTGGCTTTTATGTGGTATATCGTTTTTTTAACCTGTCTTTTGATGCTGCACTTGACGATGTGTTAGAGAAAGGTCAGGAATTCTGTGAAAAAACTTGGGACATTGCGAAGTACAGTGTTGCACCCCAGCCTTTTATAGAACAGTATTGCTTCAGAGCACCGTACATCGTGATCCTCTTAAGAGAAGGATTGCACATTACAGATAGCCATTTCACTATTGGTTCTGGAAGTATTACTTGGACACTCGGGGTTGCTCTGTTGGAAGCTGGGAAAGGATTTTCCACCAGAACGGAGTTTCACAATTATCCAATACTCTGGATGAAGATAAAACCATATATTCTTTTTGCCATTTTGTTTGTTTCATTGTTTTTACTACTTTGTGCATTCTCATGGGATGGCAATTGGATGCCAAGATTTTTCACCAGATCATATCTTCCCCTTTCTAGGCATAACAGTGCCTCCACATCTGTTCTCAATATACCCAATCCTTTCCGTTTTCAGCGCTGGAGTCCTATCAATTCAGGTGAACACCTCTACAAGACCTGTGACTTCTGCAAACTTTTGCTATACTTTGTGGAATGTTTACTGCTGCATATTTGCCAATTATTTTCTTGGAAAGGAAAAATATTGTGTCCTAATTCCAAGACTAGATCTTTCTATGGGGTAAGATCGTATAACCAAATTAAGTGCCATCCATTTAAAGGCCATACTTGGATGTCTAAATTCTTTTGGATGCAGCTTTCTCTTTATTAAGAGAGAGAGTTTGTTTCAGGATAGGATATTGACATGTTCACCTCAAACAGACAAGCAGTAGTCAATCAAGTTGATGTCTCACATGTTTGGGAGAAAAGTTTGGAGAAAAGAAAACTTCAAAAACAGCTGAATTGCTTGATATCTTAAATATATGATCCTTGCCATGTTTATTTGACTAATGGACAACTTTTCTTATAATCTTCGAGAGGTTGAGAAGCTCTGCCATAAGCTGCTTCCTGGTGATCAGAACTATGACTACAATTGTGTTTTCTGCTATTTTTTGTTGCAAATGTTTATTTATATGACCATTTAGGCTTTGTCAATTACGGTTTTTCAGGGGATGGACGAGTTAAGATGCCACTGAGTCCAATTGCGAGTGCCCAACATAGACCATTTGGGATGGGACATGGTTTCGGTGGCAGCAGTATCCAGCTCACTGAATCTTCCTTATTCCCGTCATCTAGCAGTGTTGCACATAGCTATTCTTCAGGTAGCTTGGGGCAGATGCAATGTGACACTAGTAGCATGGGTTCCTTCTGGTCCCCTCACAGAAGTCAGATGCAGCTTCAGAGCAGGAGATCACAATCTCGGGAAGACCTTAGTTCGTCACTGTCTGAGGCACACCTGGTTAAGGTTTAAAGCATCTCCAATTTTGTAACCACCACCTGTCTGATTTGGCTTGCCCGAAAAAAATTTAAGGGAGAGCTGTCACCGAATGCAGTCTCTTCGTCCCTTTCACAAGGGCACATTTGTTGGACAACTCGCTTTAAGTGGTTGGAAAGATGAAGTCAGCACAGTTGGCCAGTGAAGAGGAATCCTGATGCGGGGGGTTGGAGAAATAATCTGAGATGACAGTGGTAGATGGTGTAGGTTTCAGTGCCAACATCATACTGCAATGAGCCTGTTGACAGTTCTGGCTTCTTATAAGTTTTAGAACTTGGTAAATGAACACGGAACTTGATTCGATTTGGCCATTTAACCCATCAGCATGCTTCATCAGAGGAGATCCTTCGTGGGAATCTCATTGACAACACCAGGACCTTTATGGATAAAGTCGTAACGTCCAGCTAACTCCCGCGCTCCAGCTAACTCCCACCCCTCACCCCTTTCCCAAAAGAGGACTCAAGGAAGCTTTGTACTACTAAAAGTGCAAGTGTTACTTATCCTGTAGGTTGACTCCGTCTTCGCCAGTTATGCTCCTTGAGAAATTTTGTTCTAATTTCTTTGGATAAGTGGCATTAACTTTCCTTTAGAGATTTTGTTCTACTGGTTGGCTTTCTTTTTGTACCAAATAGAAGGAATGCTTTCGGCTCAGTAGATTTACAGTTGAGAAGTTGGATCTTAATCATGTAATTTTTCAAACATTTCTCCAAATATGATATCCTAAGGCCCAATCTCTCTCTCTCTCTCCTTGATCGGGATTCCCTTAGCATTGGCCATGTAGACATGAACTTCTATGCCCATTGTTCCTGAACGTCCAGTAAATTTGTAGCGCAGTTTAAAAGTTCTGGAGAATTACTCATTTGAGCTAGGAAAACTACCTTTCGCAAGTGGTCAGGCAGAACATTCTAATTGTGATTGGCTGATTATTTTTCAGAACAGAGCAGAAGCTGGATTTTAAATGCCAGTGATTGTTTGAAAATGAAATTTTGCATCATCCCATACAGAGCAGCAGATTGCTAAGCTATTGTTCACATTATAACACGTTGAATTCTCGCATTTTTACTCAAATGATTTGTCTTTTTGATACTTATACCTATCTGTATAGTGATTTTGAACTTATTTCACAATGTGCTGATGTTTTATACAAAAGTATTGATTTGACCCACAATTCTCAAGTCTTGTATTAAATGCATGTTTGACAAACACGCCTTTACGTCGAAAGTGCAGGTAAACCCGCATTTTCACATAGGGAATGGTAGAATCAGAAATAAGTAAGGTGTTACCGTATTTGGGGAATAAAGTCAAAAGGTTGCAGTTATGTAGAAATTGATCCGTCTCCATGGCATGAAACAGAAAACTACTCAATTGTGATGGAGGAAATAATGTGGATGCATAATTTGCAACTCGAGATTCAACAAAGCAGGCAAGTACAACCAATTGAATGATCAAATCTATTCTCAGGCATCCTATAGTCAGAAGTTTCAGATCAGTCTGCGAGTGAACCGGTCAGGACAAAATTTTAGACCATATGAGCTATGCGCTTGATAGAAAATTGCAAGCCAGCTAGGAAAAGCGCTTGTTGGCAGCTGAAATCAAGCTAACAAGAAAGTATATCCCCACAAGGTATAAGAAAGTAAGAAGTACTCCTCTGTCTAAAGAACAAACTATAGCTCAACTTGGTGGGACTGAGAATCATCATTCCTCAGCGAGAAGAGCCAATGAAAGAATTGTAACAACTTACTCGTTGCAGGCTTGGGCTCAGGTAGTTCCAACTTTACATTACAGACTGTGTTATAGTCGTGCTTCAAATGAGGAGCGACTATTCTTTCCTGGACAAAAAGAAAATGAAAATGTTTCAACAAAAGCCACCATTTCAAAAAAAAAAAGAGTGGTTTCTAAAGTTTCAGATTGGAAGAAGTTGATACCTTGAAAACTTCAAATGGACAGAAATCAGAATTATCACAACCCTATTCATAAAAAAAAAAAAAGAGGACATCAAAAACATGTGATGTACAAGGTTGAGATATACGTAAGAAACAGAAAAGTGTATGGAGATCTTAAGAGAACGAGCCAAGTTTTGAATCGATGTGTTTGTAATTTAACATTATTCGAGTTTTAGACATCAAAGACATCATGTACTTTATAGGGGCTGTAATTTATAGCATTTTCGCATAAAATAAAAAAATATCAAAATCAATAGGGGGCAAGCACCAAAACATTTGAAAGCTAAGAAATGAAGTTATGGATCAAAAATACTAATGGATAACCAAAAGTAGAACAGAACGTTAAAGAGAATTCAGGTCATCTAGCACAAAGCCTACCGGCATTGGAATGGGATGCTCGTTGTGCAGAACTTGAACAAAGTATTTGCTAGATTTGTTAGCTGGACAGTTGTACAGAACCAACATGTTATTCCCAGCAAAAGGTGCCACGATGCTGCCCCTCCAGTTTCTTCTCTGAGGAGGTTTTGAAGGGAGTTGCAAGGGTTGTTCTCTTTGTATCAGTTCAAACTCTGAAGGACTCAACAAATAACACCAAGTAAGAGGTAATATAGGGCATAATCCACAGGGACAGCAGAAAACCATTTTGTCTCATATATGTATTTGACAGCAGAAATGCATACATGATCAAATATGCATCGCCTATGTACCACTACCCTACCCTACCCAAATAAGTGGATTCAGGGTGGAAGCCCAGCCACACAAATATCTAACAGCAAAAACACTCACCAGGTCCTTCAAGAAAGAGGCCGAGCAAACATGAGAAAGGAACGAGCGTCTCTGCATGAGCAAAACGCATTCTTGCTTTTTCATAACTCCCAGGCGCATGTTCATCTAAAGGAAGAAAGTAAAAAGAATAATATAAATGATTAATAAAAAAAATGTATCAAGTTTGGTATTTTGCCAATTAATCTCTTAGGGAGATCTTCTATCTCACACGGACATTGATTCACTAAACTAATCTAAAGAATATTTGGATTTTCCTTACTTTGACTTAAGAGTGGAGTCAATATGGATCATACAAATCATCTGTAAAAATCTAAAAATGCATACAAATACATTTACATATATTCGAGAGTAAAGTGTTCAGAATATTGACGACATTTGGAGACGTTTAATTAGTGATAAATCTTCTAGTTTGGCAGTAACAATTCATATTTATGTTAAAGTAAACAGTTTAGTGTGTTATGATCATCAATATTACGAAGCCAATGTTTAAGTCTCTCTCTGTGTATGTGTCCGTTTACATTTGAATAGAAAGGCTGTAATAATGTCTTGTAAGATAATACAGTGGACAAAGAAACTTCTCAGGGAATAGAAAGAAATCTCAATCAATCTATCAATGATGTTCCTTTAGTCACTGTTTCCCATTAAAGTTTCAACCCTCGACGAAAATTTCTGCGAAGTGTGCTTCAAGAAAAAGGACAAAGCATGCAAATATCTAAGAAATCATATCAATTAGATTTACCTTCCTTAGCCTTAATAGCTTGCTCCATGGACTGCACAACATCTTCAAGCAGTGGCACTCCTATTCGGTAGTTTAATGAATTACCATAACCTTTCAGTATGAACAACTCCACATCATCTGCCCACTCCAACAAAGCAACCTAAAAATGTGCGTATGCTGTCAGTCAACAAGCATAAAGAATCCAGGAAATATAGTATGCTCTTTCAATTATCACAGCAAACTATAATGATACTAGACATGGGCATAATTTGCAAAACAACAGGCAAAGAGCAGATAATCACGCATATACACAAGGAATAAAAACAAGAGGGATAATATCCCATGCACTTACGAATGGCTTATTATCCAATTCATAAGCACATGGGATAATAAGACATGATGAGTTAACCTACCCAGTAAAAAATCATAAAGAGTTGCCAAGCACTGAACTAACTTACCTCAGAATGGCTGAACAAAGCGCAAGCTTGATCAGTTATGTTCAACAAGGATGCTTCCTGCCAGAAATACATATGGACGATTACCAAAAGAGACAATTATAATCAGTTCAGAGAAGCATGGTTAGTACTCATAGGAATATACCAATGGGCCTTTAGTCCAATGGTACTCCTTACCTTGTGAAAGTTTTGTCTTTCTAAGGTCAAGGGTTCAAATCTCCCCCTCCCCCTCACAAAAAAAAAAAAAGGTAGTACTCATAGGAATACTGAATAGAATGCAAGGGCAGAGTAGTGACCTGTTTGCATAAAAACCAGAGGGAAGACGTATCCTGTCTTGTAAAATTTAGCCCATACCGTGCCATTAATGCTCTTGTAATCTCATCTAATATCGGTTCTTTAAGCTTAGCAACAGCAGGCTCTTGACTTTTCCTAAAAGCCTGCATCCAACGAGAAAAGATATAGCAACTGTGTTTAAACACTTGCAAATAAACACCACAAGAAAGATTGAGCATTTGAGTTCCGTCACTGACGTAAAGTAAGAGCTCAACCTTACTTCACTTTTACTTCATGTTTCCTTAAATCATTTCCTTTGAGAGTTTTGTTTGCTTCACTTTTACTCACCTTGAGACACACAAATTTGACCTCACTCACATTATTTGGTATGATATTGAACGTAAGTAAAACATAAGACACAAATTTGGTTTAACTAGTGTCCCAACTTGAAAGAGGTGACAACAGTGGCAAAGCCACAATATGAATATTGTGGATCTTCTTCTTTTATGCCAATTTTTTGTACCATAATTTTTTAAAATTTGTTACATTTGCCCTCCCCCCCNTTTTGCTTCTACCATTAACATCTGAAACTGATTCAAAAACATTCAAAAAATGTAAATATAGGCTCTCTCTTTTTTCATTAATTCTGCATGTAACCAATTCTATTTTGTATCCTAAAAAATTTAAGAATTTTTATTTTATACCTTTAATGATTAAATATTTCACATTTTAATATCAACATATTAAAAATATTACAATGTGACCCTTCCAATAGTTTATGTTATTCATTCAATGATCCATTAACGTGTCCATTGTTATGATATTGAGGTACAATATTAGAAATCTCATTTTTTAACGTATGAAGTGGAAAAACTTAAATCCTTTGGGGTCAATAGTGAGATTCCCCCAAAAATTTAAACTCCAGCAAGCTTTTACATGTGAGGGAAAAAATCTGCCGTTTTACTGCTTTTCTACTTATCCTTCGACAGTTACGGAAACAAATCTCATAAACCATCATTTTATGCTCAATTCATTTCCCCCCCCCCCCCCCCCCCAAAAAAAAAAAAAAAAACCAAAATTTTCGAAACAATTGTGTATTTAGTCCTATTTTTTATTCAAATTTTGTTTAGGGTCAATGAAAACTAATTTTCTTGCTTCATATATTAATTTAGTCTTGAATGTTAATATATTTTTTTGTATTAGCTGGTGAATTTTTTCTAGTTACATTTTTTCTCCTGGGCAAATTCCTAGCTCCGCCCCCTGGGTTACAAATATTAAGAATCATCATGTTGCAAAGGACATAAGGAAGATGTCTTCGTGTATTATTATCATTTCCATCAACAATGATGTCCATTAAAGTATATGTAATAACACAATAAACCATACCTATAAGTGAAATTCAAAAGAATAGAATGTTTCAAAGGAATAAGAAGAATAATGAGTTCACTTGTCTAAAATTCCAATAATGGTTGCATCACCCACTCGCTTCTAATACTTTTTAGTGTTGCCGTGCAACTCATACAACTATTTCTTCATGACATGGCCAGTGATGATCAACTAATTCAACCTTCTGCACATTATACCTAGACTAATATGAATGTCTATTATTGGATTTCTATGGTCAGAATACCACAAGGATCAAATTCCAAGAAAAACTTAAATGCAGTATTGTAAACCATCACATGGATGATATCCTCTACCACACTACCAAATAATGCTATCAAACCCATACTGAATCAGAAAGCTCAAAACTATGCTGTCTTATTAGATTATTGCCAGTATCAACTACAGCCACTAACAACACTTTTTTGGGGGAAAAAGTTTAAAAGAAAGAACACTCCCTAAACCAGCTTCCAGAGATTCTGACGACTCAAAACAATATTTTAAAGCAACTTTAACTACATACTACATAAGTAAATGCAAGCTTGTCCATGTGGGTCGGTGTGGGTGCTAAGAAAAGGTTCTGCAAATGTACCTTGTAGTTTTGGCAACAATCATGAAATCTCAGCATTATATCACTTGCACGGCTTTCAGTTGTAACTGCAAAGGCTCGATGACGCCCTGGCCCAAGATTTCCTCTCCCACTAAACTGCCCCATGCCAAATGCCACGGCACTAGCTGATGTCCTAGGGACCTATCCCATTATTAGGCAAAGGTTATTATAAAAGTAATGAATCCTAACAATAGAGGAAAATAATTGTAAAAACAATATTAGAGTCACGGTGGTAAGGACACTTCCACCTATGTGGAAACCTTGACCAAAAGGGCATTTATAGTGATACATTCCGGCCGATACCCAAATGAGAAGTTAAATACCCAAAATGAAAACAAGAAAAACACCTCAACCATATAAGTGTCATTATTAAAATAACATCTCAAGTTAAGGTTCTTCATCTAAGTAAGTAAAAATCAATAGTCAATAAACAAATAAATTTGGTAAACCTGGGTGGCTTTTATTGGATATACATCCGGGTGGTAATCTTCATTAAACAATTCTGGAAATCTTTCTCTGATTCTGATCCCAAGATTATAAAGCTCAGATTCTCCTTCAGTAGTCAATTCTCCACCTTTGAGCTTCCCTCTCCAAGGAGATTTCCAATTCCATAACCAGGCAGGAACTTTCTGCAAAGACAATTTCTGTTCTTTTCCATCTTGTAGAATGACCTTCAAGCGAGCCTCCAAAGCTTCTAATTCTCTAATTTTTTTCTTGGTAGGTGCACGAGTTCCATGCCTTGCCTAAGATACCAAAATGTGTGGTTATTAAGGCATAAACTCTCAATCATATCACTCACTATAACATGACAATACTAGCTGAAATCAGCATGAATAACCAACTCAACACTTTCTGATGACTACATCAACAATGAAGTTCGATGAAAGCATATATTATAAAACCCTTCCTATTAAGCGGCTAGAAGACATGAAAGTGACACAAATATATCAGTTTGATAAAATTCATTATATTGTGGGAAATGAAATCTCATACTAAATCAATTCATGAAAGCTATGACTATCGCTAATAGTGTTCAATTCTCTTAGATACGCGCACACTCTAAACAAATGCCATAGCATAGAAATTGGCAATATCGATTCAGAGATTGTAAGAGAGATTACCAAAATATTTAAATGGATAGGAGTACATTGATCTGGAATCTTGGAAGGCACAATAAAATTGCCAGAAATATCTTTCACTGCATCATATCTGCAAAAATCAAATACATAAACAAGCAATCAGTTAAATAAAACTCCCTTAAAAGCAATGTGAACAAAGCGTGCTTTTTCTTCAAGAAATACGCCCAGCCAAAAGTGAGAAAAACTGGTAATTCAGTAAATTTTGAGCTCGCAATAGCCCTGTAAAAATGAATAATACGAATTGGAGAGAGAGAGAGAGAGAGAGAGAGATTCCAACACTTATTAGGAACCAAATAAAACTTGTAAATCTTGTCCTGGCGTTTTTTGACGTAAAATAATCAAATATATAACATGAAGGGCAGGTAAATAATAAATAAATACAGATTTCTGCACACAAACACACACATTCCTCAATTCATATTACGATCGAGCTCTGAAATTACTGTAAATGTCCAATTGTAACTGTTGAGTCGTTTAATAATCGAAGAAATCGGACATTTCAATAGATATTTATCAATATTCTAGAAAAAAAGAGCTTTGGCGCTTGTAATAAGAGAATAACCACTGAAACGAAGGGAGTTAGGAGAGAGAAACCTTGAAACAGTTGAGAGATGTTGTCGAACGTCGAATGCTTCTTCTTCAGCGAGTGAAGGATTCAATAGACATAACAACAACAAAAACAGCTGCATAAAAGCAGTCATGGCTTCCTTGCACAATCTCTTCGTGTCTCTGGAACGCTCTAGTGGAAGAAAATATCGAAAAAGTGAGGGAGGGGCGAATTTTTTTGTTGGCTTTGATGCTGTTTGTTTCCTCAAGAAAGCTACGAGCTTATCACTCGCGTTCTTATGCGCAAGAATGACGTCTTTACTGCTTTCTATTTTAAACATTTTTAAAAAAAAAAATAGAGAATTTTCACAATAATTTTGTACCTAAAAACATTCTAATACTAAAAATTGAGCATTGATTATGTCATATTTATATTTNAAAAAAAAAATAGAGAATTTTCACAATAATTTTGTACCTAAAAACATTCTAATACTAAAAATTGAGCATTGATTATGTCATATTTATATTTTAAATAATACATTTTTTTATTTTTTAAATATATAATTTAAAATTAAAGTGAATAGAGAGAAGATAAGAAAGATATAAATTAATGGAGCTATCAAGTATTGGAAGCCTGACAAATATAATGATGTTTTTGAGTGAGAAAAAAAATTAAGAATAATTTTATACCATTTGATTAAATTAAATGAAGATTGGATTAATATTTCTTAACAGTCAATGCACTTTTATAAATTGACTAGTTATTGTCTGTGCTTGAAGACACAAAGTAATAAAAACTGGTAAACAATAAACATATTTGTATTTATGTCCAGAATCAAACCACAAACATAAAAAAAATATAAATGAATTTAAGAATCGGTTTGCAGTGGGGGTGAGAGGTGGTGGGCGGCAATGGTGGTGGTAGGAAACGGTGATGGTTGTGGTGGGTGGCAATGACCGTAGTGGTGATGGTGGTGGCGGTAGCGATGGCGGCGGTGGTGGCGATGGTAATGAGGGTGGCGATGGCGGTGGCGGTGGCGACAACTATAGCGGCAACGATGACGGTGGTGGTGGTGGTAGGGGTGACGGTGGCGGTGGGGGCGACGACGATGGTGATGGTGGTGGTGGCGGCGACGACAATGGTGGTGGTGGTGGTTGTAGAGGTAGTGGTGGGGTGGTTTCAATCACTATTTTTAAAAAAAAGTATTTATGAGAAATAATTTCTAAAAGTATTTTAAAAAAATCATTCCAAACACATCCTTAAGGGTCTATTTTTTCTATTATTTTAGGATGCTAATATTAACTGTTAGATTAATTTTAAAGTAAAATTTAAAACGATCTCAACCGCGAATAGTAAAAGTCATTTTGTTTATCTTTTGAGATTTGAATTATAAACTATTTTATTTATAAATTAATAATTTAACATTCCATCTTTAGATATATTTTTCATAAAAAGTTATAGTATGAACGATGTCTTATAACTATAGTATTTGATGATGCACAAAATTGTCTTGTGTAAGACCAACAGTCAATGATATTAGCAGGTGTGATTAATGAGCAATTAATTAGCAATCAATGACAATCAATGGATAAAAATAGTAAATAAGCAATCAACACAGAGATTTATAGTGGTTCAGTCTGGGTGACCTACATCCACTCTCGAGAATGGCGACAGCGGCCTGGGGCATTTTATTAATGAACAATGTCACTGGGAGAGTAACTCCGGTGTATTACAGTGCTTTGGAGAGAGAGAGAGCAGTGTGTGTAGGAAGGTCTAGTGTGTGTAGGGCTTTCCAGGTTATGAAAGCATGCCCTCTATATGGAGATGCCTTACATTATATAGGTGTGATGAGGCGGTGACGTGAGGAGGAAGACTTCTTCTGTTTTAGTAAGTATAGCTATGGTAAGAGATCTCTGTGCCTATCCTAGTGTTTTCTCCCTCGTGCTCTTATTTCTTCGGAGGAGAGTCTTGAACTGAACTGAGCTTGTACTTGACTTTGGGCTTGGACCTGGAGTGATCCTGGACTTTCATTGGAACAACGAAGCAAAGAGGAGCAGAGAGAAGCAGGCGCCCAAGGGTCCTATGGGCAGCGCCCTGGCCTTTTCGTTATTCTGTTTTGGGCATTGGGTGCTCTGGATCTCCTTTGATGGGTTAACCCATCTGATTGGGCTTTCCTCTTGGACTTTCTTGGTTTATTTGAATTGAGCCTAGCCCAGTAAATTCGGGCTCATCATTTGTCCCCCATGCCTCGAGCCTCTAATTTTTTCGCAAGGCAGGGGTTGTGGGCATGTGCCTCGTGTTTATTGAGTCGAGATTTACCTTGCTCTGCTGACATCTTTTTGTCTTCGAGGACTTGCTCTCAGGGACTCGCTGAACTTCCCGATATCGAAATTGTTTTTTTTTTTACTGCTTCTCTATAAATAGAGATCATTGTTCCTCCTTCTTCATCCTTTCCTCACTTCTCATTTCTAGGGCTTCTCCCAAAAATTTCCTTTGATCTTCTAGAAGCTATTTGAGCAAGCTTCCTCAAGAAGCTTAGGTGAAACTTCCCCTAGAAGCCTCATTCTCTATTTAAGGCCTCAAAGAGCTATTGTTCATTCATTCTCTCTTGTTTCTATCTCCTTTTCCATTTCTCTCTCTAAACAACATGAAGACAAGGAGCTCGAAGGGTGGAGAAGACTTCAACAATGAAGGTAGCACCCACGGAGAGGCTAGCCCGGACGGCACCCAAGGGGCCTTTCCAAGCAGCGATGTAGGGAAAACGATGCAGGCACCCATCCAGGCCCAGGAGGGCGGCACCCAAGCTTCGGGTGGAGTCCTTTATAGTGCAGGCAGTGGAGTCGAAGTGCTTAAGCAAAGCAAGAGAAGAGCAGGGGCCATGGGCGGTGCCAGGGGTTTGGGCAACACCCCTTCGTGCTTCGGACGCTTGGGTCTCCCTCTTGGCGCTGGTTTTGGTATGGCCTTGACAGTTGGTGAGCGACCCTTCGAAACTATTAGTGCGAGATTTGGCACGAGCAAAGAGGCTTCAATTAATCCTTTTAGTGCATCGAGAGGGACCTCAGACACAGGTGGGCAGGGAAGTGAATCTTCAAAGGAGACAAAGGGTGCTCGTCATAGGCTGGGCGGCGCCACAGGCTCCTCAGGCGACGCCCATGGTGTGCTGGGCGGTGCCCTAGGCTCTACAGTAGGCACCCCAAGCGTAGTGTAGTCCGCCCTTCGCAAGTCCAGAAAGCAATCGATCACTGATCTACATGGGACTAGCTCTCAAGGTATGTTGCAGTATTCTTTTTACTCTTTCATTGTCACAATTATTTTCCTGAGCTACGCCCTGAACTTGCTTTTGCAGATATTCATCCAAGCGAGAGGGAGACTTCTCGGGACTCTGACGGAGGTCCAAATGCTGGAGGAAGTGATGGTTCCAAAGTAGCTTCTATACTTAGCTTGCTTGACCATGATAAAGATATTGTCGAAATAGTTTCATCATATCGTATTCCATCCTGCGTGACCTATCGTCGCGTTGAGGCCGATGAGTTTGCATGTTGTGATTCTTTGGGTGAGATTGTCGTTTACGAGGGCATGTTGGAGGTGGGCCTTCGATTCCCTATCCCCGGACCTATATGTCGGGTTCTCGGGCTCTTGTCTCTAGTTCCAGGGAGACTGGCTCCTGATGGTTGGAGGGTGATTTCAGCGTTCTTTGCCTTGTGGCAGTTGGTGCATGACGCTACCGTCCCTCCACCGTTTGAGGAGTTTTTGGCTACATATACACTGGCGAAAAATCCTACTCCTCACCGGGGGTGGTATCGCTTCACCCCAAGATCAGGTAAGTTTATCGGTGGGCTTATGTCCAACCTTCATAAATGGAAAAAAAAGTTCTTCTTTGTCGGAGGTGAGTGGGCCTCTGAGTCCGACCGTGACCTTGTGCCCACACGATGGGATACAGTCCCGAAGACAAAGCAAGGTAAGAAATTTTTGCCCTTAATTTGTGTCTCCATCCTCATGTATTTATTCTTATGGTACGATTGTCTTCTAGTAGCTGCACCGACTCTAACTCCGATCCAAGAGAGGCTGCTCGAGATGGTTTGCAACAACCCGACCAAGGATTTTTTTGAGATTATGCTGGCGTCTGGCACCTCTATAGCTTCTTCCAGGCTGAGAAAGAAAGGTATTTGATCTTTTCTCTTTTCATTTTGTAGTCTTCTTAAAGACTCAATGTGTCAGGCTTTTTGAATTGTGCTGGCTCTGCAGGTCCCCCCATTGATAGGTCGATGGTGGGGGCAGTTCTTACTTCTAGGGTGGCATCCTCCCTTCCTTCTTTTTCCAAGAGGGCGAAGTCTAGTACTCCCAGCACTTCTCAATCGGGGTCTATCGGTCAAGCTAATCTCACAAAGGCTGACCTTAGTGATGTTCCTCCTTCTTCTCTAGTTGATGTCTCCCCACCCCTGAGAGATTGTTCTAGTGCTGCTGCAGGTGTTGAGGCTCCGGCGCTACCTTTAGTTAGGACTGAGGACCAGCTAGGCGGTCCCACTTCGGGTGCTCCCCCATTGTCTATGCTACGGGACGTGAGGTTGGCAAGGGAGAGATTCTGTGATTTTGTGATCGGTGTCGAGGCCCAAGAGATCGTCTCCCGAGGTCTTGAGGGCATGATTAATGCCACTGTTGAGAATTTTGCTTTGGTATGTTTTATACCCCTGCTCCGCATCTAGCTTCCTTTCATATTCTAGCTTTATTTTATGACTTTCCTTGTACTCGTATCTCCGAATGCCTACAGGTGGCTGCTGCCTTGCCTGGCTTGTTTAATAACACCTTGCAGATCCGTGATGTGGTCGACAACTTGGCTAGGGAGAGGCGAGCAAGAGAGGTTGCTGAGAAGCAGCTTAGGCTTGAGTGGCAGGCACGAGAGGATGCCAAGAAGCAATTGAGGCTTGAGTGGTAGCTACGAGAGGGTGCTGTTGAGGAGTTGAAGCAAACGCATGAGAGGGCTGCTCAATTTGAGACTAACCTTCGTGCAGCACTTGAGAGAGCCACTAGGGCAGAGGCTCAAAGGGACGCTGTTGAGAGGGCCAAGGCCAGTGCTTTCATTGATAGCTATGAGGAGCTCAGGAGGAAAGCCTCAACAACATTCCCTTATTGCGATCTTTTTGACCTCAAGCCTCATGAGGCCCTTGAGTCTGATGATGAGGACTACGTGAGTGGAGGCAGTGAGAGTCACTAGGAGTGTGGTGCCTTTGCATTTTTTGTTCTGTTGATAGACTATGTCTATCCTTTTGTAAAGAGTTCATAGACTTGAACACAACTTTTGTAAAGGTCTACGATTTTTGAATGGAATACAACTTTTTAAAG